TGGTAGTGGTAGTGGTAGTGGTAGTGGTAGTGGTAGTGGTAGTGGTAGTGGTAGTGGTTGTTGTAGTGGTAGTAGTTGTTGTTGTTGTATAATTTCGTTGAATGCACGTGCCCGAAGACAGCGGCACTCCAAATGCACTGTACAGCAGCCGCTCAACACTCCGCCCCCGCATCAGCATCCGCTCGGGGAAGCTGAAGGGGGCTCAGAACAAGAAGCTGCCGTCGCACCGTCACCATGTGTTCCAACACAGCAGCATCATCAACGCACCCAGCATACCGTCCAAGCCGCAGCTGCAGCAAGTCATCCGGAGTACGTGAAGGACGTGTGGACGCAAAGCCAGGACAGCGCCAGCACAGGTGCTCCCAGTTGAAAACCTCAGTCTCGCTGTGACAAAAGCGACAGCCAGGCCAAACGTCGCCGCCAGAAGACTTAGTGTAGAAAGCAGCCGAACAAGCCGCTCCCGTCAAAACGGCACGCACATCACCGTTTCCAACAGCGAAACCTTAGCCGCGGTCAAAAGGAACGTCCGCGAGCAACACGCTATCGCGTCGCCGACGCTGCAAGAAACCCAGCCAGCGACAGTGGCGCCAAGATACACGAAGTAAGTGCAACACCCGGTCCAAGGGGTCAACCAGCAAAGAACAGCTTCCCGCAACGGGATGATTCCAAGCGAGCCGACCTGACGAGATCCACCTTCGGTGGACAAAAGCGTCACCGACCCTGCGACACCAAGCCCCAACAGGGGGAAGACCCAAAGCAAACGCGCGTTGCAACTCCCGACGTCCAACAACATGCGAAGGTCCCGCGAAGCAAGACCGTGAACGCGACCTTTCGCCGCACTTTATACAATGAGTCATCCCTAGCAGGGAAGCCCGACAGCCACCAGCCCCATGTGATCTTCGGAACCACTCTAGCGCAAAAAAGATCTCGACGGACCTCAAGCGGAACTGGGGCACGCGAAAGTCTCTGGGCGTATTGAAGACCAATAAGCACACGCTGCTCCTCTGCGCGACCTTCCCCGCAGCAAACCGGAGCCTTAAAGTCCACACCCAAAACACGGATCTGCGACGAACCTGATCTTCCCTGAAACCAGCCCGCATCCAAGCGTGATGCTGAAAACCATCCTGCGCCAATGCAACAATCTTATCCTCATTCTCAAGAAAGCCCAACCGACGACTCCAGCTCTTCCACAAACGGAACCCGTGCAACAACTGCCCCACTTCGGGAGCAACAAGGACTCTATCGTCCAGCAAAACCGACTGGCGGACGCCCGCACGCTGCACATCCTGAACAGCATCAGCCATCACCAGAATTAATCCCAGAGGGGACATGGGATCGCCCTGGGGCATAGAAGAAACAACCCTTTCCAAACGAGCAGCACAAAGGTGCCCAAGCTCAAGCCAAAGCTCCTGACTGCACCAAATCTGTCGGAGCAGCAACAACAAGCTTGAAGGACAGATGGAGATTCCAGGGTAGCCAACACAAGGTCCGGTCGGAGCCGGTCGAAGCACTTGCTATAATAGTCCAAGGTCAAAGCGGGCGAACCTGCCTCCAGAGCCGGCAACAAGCTAGAAATAGACGACGTCAGCGAACGACTCTTGAAGTTAAGATGGCCGAACCCCTAATAAGACAGGAGATTAGCAAAGTTC